ACCCGATTTTGATGGGTGCGCGAGGATAACGGGAACGGCTATTGGTTTCGATTTGTATCGAACGTATTACGATTCCGGTCAGAAAATGGAAGTTTCCGTTTAGCGAGCTTAGAAGATGGACGGGAACCGAAGAGACAACAGAAACTGGCAGAATTTAATTTCGCGTTGAGACGTCTGGTATCCTGGGCACGTCGTCCTCTCGATTGGAATCGCGTCGAGAGACTTATATCGGATTTGTTACAATTTCTTTCCATTTTTTTTTTCAAATAACGTCCGTCCGAGCTTAGGTTTGTTGATTAAATTCATGATATAAAGCGACGAAGGAAAATATAATATCCAGGATACGTAGTGTTCGTCGAGTTCGCTTGGTAATCTTCGAAAACTGAATCAAACTTGGAATTCACCATTAAATCTAGGACAGCAGTCGAACGATCGCTTTTTAAACTTCTGCCAAAGACGCAACGAAATACTAAATGTAAAATATCATTGAAACTAGATTTAGCCAAAAGCGCAATTTTCATCGAATAAAATTCTAAAACGAAATAAATTCACGAAATTCGATACGATCTTGCTTGTACATTTTAGCGAACGTATCCTGGAACAATTTATACTAAAACAAAAAAACTCAACTTGCATTGCAAAAGTAAATTCCAAGTTACGCGGAATATTAACACCTGCTGTAAAGCGTGAGTCGCATGAAACATGAATTCCGTTGCGAATTGCTTTACGTCTCTGTCGAACGTTTAAAAATCAGTCTTTTTAGATGATTCGGAAAGCCAATGCCGCCGGCATAACTGTCTTTAACGAACTCTGCAAAGAAAATCTGAGCCAACCGGATCGAATCGTATCTCTTGGGTTGGCAACTAAGTAATTGCCGATTTGTTCAATGAAATAAAAAATTTGTTTTTACTTGGAGTGAAGTTTAATCTGTAATGTATTTTCCATTTTGTCCGCTGATCTTTTGCCATCCCTCTGACAACTTGAAAATTCCACGCTCGTAGAAAGTCTGATCCTTTTCGGCCAAAAACTGAGTTAAGTGAGATTTTACAGCGTCATCGTCATTAAAAGTTTTACCACGAAGGGAGTTGTCCAGGGATCGAAATAAGTGGTAATCCGATGGCGCGAGATCGGGGCTATATGGTGGGTGTAACATCAATTCCCAACCAATATCCATCAATTTTTGCCGAGTGGACAAAGACGTGTGCGACCTAACATTGTCCTGTTGGAAAATGACACCTTTACGATTGACCAATTCTGGTCGCTTTTCCTTGACCGCTGCATTCAATTTGTCCAGTTGCTAACATTCGCGGATAATAAAAAATAACATAATAATAATAATAATTTTACAATATAACATTTACGGATATCATAAAAATGGGAGTGGGAGACATCTATAATTATTGGATTATTTTCTCTCTTTTGAATACTCAGAAGTTTTTCCTTCTAGCATATAAGTTACAAAAACGAATCGACGCCGAGAGTCTCGCCAGAGTACCATTAGATAAACAATGATTTCATATGTATATAGAACAGAGTGCTCTTTGTCTTTAGGTGACGTTTTTGGTTTCGTCTTTGTGAATAGTCTTCAGTCTCCTGGAGCAATCAGGAGAGTAAAGACGGTCCTTCCTCGTACATCAAATTAATAAACTAAAAGGGATAAGTTTAATTCACTGCGTTTTACTTTTATTTATCTACCCATTTCCAATAATAACTGAAATCGGCAATTACTTAGTTGCCAACCCAATAAAAAAACGATTTGGTCTCTTAATATTGAAATTCAACGGCGACGCGCAGAATTCAAACGAAATACGCATCGTTCAGCCCTGTCGACCGCTAGAAGAAATCGGCTGTATCGTAATCGCGAGAAACGTACATCGAGATTTACAAGGACAGTTGAAACGGGTTCAACCGGTTCTAACGGTTATGCATATTTCTGCGAGCGTAACGTATCTATCTTACTAATAGCGCCACGGTCAGGCTGCACGTAATTCGAGGTAGCCGACGTCGGTCCTCCCGCTTCGTACATGCGCGGGTACATACGCATTTATACATAACGTGCATACATACACGGACTATCTACTCTGAATAGATCCGACAGCGAGGATGGGTGCGGAGGGGGGGTGTAGGTAGCGGCATCGAGTGTAATACCGAAACTACATAACCCATCCAAGCCGGCTGACTTGGCCGACAATCGCTATTTAGGAGGGCCGCTTATCTCAGCCGGTCTTAGCTGTGCTAATGTCTCCTGGCCGAATCTACTCTGCCGCGTAGATGCAATAACGTGCTGCACGGAGCCCAGATAGAGACGCTGGCCAACAAGAGCCGTCCGGGAAGAAAGGAAGCCAAACGAGGGGATTAGGAAACAGAGAAAAGGGAAACGGGACAAAGTAATATGGCTGATCCTTGAACCGGAACGACTATGCAAATTCGCAGTTTCCGAAGATTATCTTGCCCCGTTTTTGAGAGGAATGACAAATGAGCCGGTCAAGTCGAAAGCCAACCGAGCCGATCAAGACGATCGGCATCGCGTTTGTTCTTCTAAAGTCGCTACGCTCGTAAAGACGCTGTCATAGAAAATGACGATCTTGTCATCCGTATGCGTCGTGTAAAAAAGGTACCCGGAATTTGTAAATGAAACACAATCCACTTGTTCGTTCGTCTCGCGGCTCGTTTTTATAGTTGTCGATCGTCAAAAATATCTCCTCTCCCCAAATTGTCCAGTTTCGTTCATAAGCTGAAGGACGATTGAGAGGAATTTACTGTTTGGCGGCAGTGAAGTGTGTCTGTTCGGTTGGGAAAAGGAGAGGGGAGACGTTTCGTCCGGGGCCCCAGCTAGAGGACTCATCGGTAAGACTATCCTAGCGGGCCCTTGCCTTAGACGTGGGGGTAGAAAAGGACGAAGTCTCTGTATATATAGGAATCGAGGCGGATCGGTTACTAGCGGGAAGAGGAGCCCCTCTGCTGGCGGGTCTGGAGGTAGCCGCCACAACTGTATTATTTAGTACATAGAGAATATGGAAAATTAATAAAATTCCGTCGTAACATTCACTAGTCACTCGAACATAAAGTATAATGTATATATTTTTTATCGTTGCTGGAGGAGGTCAAAAGTTATCGCAGTTGTAAATCGAAGAAGTCTGAAATAGACGAACAGCGGTGATAGAGATAGCGCAAAGATAATAACAAGAACAAGAGAAACGGGGCAACGTAAAGAATTAAAGTCGACACAGATGTGACGAGGTCGGAGGACGTCGCGGACGCTGAAAAAGATGCGATATAAACAACGGAAGCATTTCGGCCGTGGAGAAATGTCGCGTGGGGTTGGTAATGCAAGGCCGAGAAGGATATAACGAAAGAATGGAAGACGTGAATCAAACGGGGTAAGAAAGTTGGTAGGAAAAATTCCGGGATGAACGTAAAGCGTGGACACGCGGGCACGGGAACGGCCCGGAAAAATGAGACGGGCGCGAATGAATTAAAATAACGATCACGATACACCGCGGACAATGGCAGGAAAGAACAAATGAAACCTTTAGAATGGTTCCCTTGTACAAGCTAATCTTGGATTCGTGAGTCTTGTTAAAGATTCCCGAGAGCGGGGGAGATTTCAGCGGAAGCGGCTGCGAATGTTTAGGATAACTACGGTCATTAACGTTGCTCCGGCTTATCTAAGGAACGAGCGCGGCTTAAACCGTGCAAGAACGAAGAGACCGTATCTGTCGCGATCTGGAGCAGGCCGCTGGAAATCCCGGAATTAGCATAATCATCGTAAAGGTAAAACTGTTCGGTGCCAGGAAAGTATCGCGGAGCAAGTGATACCGGCGGCGCATCGGCGTTACCGAGTTATTAAAGGTAATTCCGAATAGCGGGCCAGGTTTATTGGAACACGTCGGGATCAATTATTACAACGTTCACCAGATATGAATAATACAGACACTTGGAAAGTTTCGCGCCGCGACAGCGTTTGCATCAACCCTGGAATCGTCGAATACAATTTCCATAATTTAACGAACGTGTTATCGTTGTTAACCGTGCTCTCGCGCTTAGAACGTTAATTTATCGATCCTTGTAAGGGAGCATTTCCTACGAACTTTCGAAATAGGAAAACGTCGTTGAAACCGATGGATATTACCCAATTTACTAAACAATGTCTTTCGTACTTTTCGCGAATGCAGTAGTATAGTCGCAAAGGTTTAGGGGTGCGGTTCAAGGTGACCCAAACCTGGTCAAATTATCGTAAACGAACAGCTGTATATTACGTGTCATTGACATCGAAATTTTCTACAAGTAGACGCACGCCAACCTATGGGGACACAACTTCTAATCTAATCTATTTACATGCTCTGTGTTAAGTTTGCATGTCTTAACGTAACTGCTATAACAAAATCATAACTTATAATAAGACTGTGGACTTCTACATAAAATAAAAATTCCGTGAATCGATTGGAAGATCTTGAAAGTAATACAACAGTATCTCTAGATCCTTTAAATATTTTTACTGTTTCGTATTTCTTTCCATTTTATCATAAATCCATAAAATCTGCAGCCTGGATAGAGTTATTCCAATAGCTTTGAATGTTCGATAGCTAGAATGTTACAAGCGAGAAATGAAAGTTATTCGCATGGTAAACGTTTAAGCTAATCTACAATATAACAGTACTAAAACCGTTTACTAACTTTTATGTAAGCGGTGTTTATTAATATCAATTTTTCATTTGTTCGACACTAGAACAAGCGAGCTTTGGACGCAATTATTTTATAACAATGAGAATAAATATAATATTTATACTTATCTTTCAAAAGTGAAATAAAGCGTAAATTCTAATTATAACAAATTATAAGCAATGTTTTTTTGTGCTTCTCGTATATGTTGCGCGAGGTATAAAGAATTTTATACAACTGTATTCGTATCCGACACTCTGGATCCTTATAAAGCACGAGCACGAGCACGTACGTGAGAACGCTAACACGCGAAATCATGTTTTTTCCAATGTTTTCAGATGGGAAGTTCCATCTACTGCCAACTGGTGAACTGCTGGTTCACAGTCTAGAGTTCAGCGATCAGATCCACGGGTACAGGTGTCGGACGATGCACCGTCTTACCAGACAAGTTGTAGTCAGCTCCGTTGCGAACGTCAGGATAGCTGGTAAGCGTCGCTTTTTAATCGTTATCTAGAATTTTTCCAGCAACGCAAAAACCCCGAGATTTATTGCAATTATTTGGCGCGCTCAGCCCCGACGCTTTTTGCAGATCACAGAGGAGTGATGCCTCCGGTGATTCTTGAAAATTCCGGCGTGGTGCACGTTGCTCAAGATGAATCAACGTCGTTAGTCTGCGTGGCGCAGGCCTGCCCTACTCCCGAATATCGGTGAGTTTCTATCCCGAAGATTAATTAAGGCAATCCCGTCGGACGTCCAACGGACACTAGCTAAGCCGATCGAGGCAGCCTGCACTTTTATTCGTGAGAACGTTGCTCGAGTTCCGTCGGTTAACCGGCGGATAGATGTTTAAGCTGATAATAGATAACAAAATCGGGAACCGCGATCGGAAATCGGTGTTATTTAAACCGAAATTCATTAACATCGCCATCGCAAACCGTGGAGATCGATGTATCTATTGTTTGCATGGACGACAACGGTTGACCCAAAGCAAAATTGAACCGGAGATGTTTACACAATAGATACACGCCCACCCCGTGCGTATTGTGGCGCCACTCTTAAATTCGATCTCTGAGAAATTCCTGTCGCGACATTCTCTGCAAATTCTAACATTATTATGTTCCGATATTATTAAGCCATTGAGGAGACAGCAGTCGTGACGGTCTTATGCTTATGACCACAATTATATAAAGTAAAAATATTTATATCTAATCATTAATTGTTAGACTGCGGATTTTTGTGTATAATATAAATTTTTTACCTAACTGCGACAAAAACAGCAGTTAAATAGACAATTATTTTTATTCTGAATTGTTTTAATAGGTTGAAAATAATGTAACAGCGTCGTTAAAATTTTCTCATGAATCTACAGTTTTGTATCTTCATTTTTTGTATTTTTTGACTCAAGGAATGTCTATTCGTTATACTATGCAAAGCGTGGGACATGTTGGTTTCATCGTCAACATTTTTTAATATTCATAGATACTAATTAAGACTGCAAAATATACGAAATTCTTATGTCTTTGAGTTCACCTTTATTATCGTTATTAATATTGTTATATATTATAATATAATATATAATATATAATATATATATAATATAATAAATAATATATAATATATAATATATAATATATAATATATAATATATAATATATAATATATAATTTATAATATATATATATATATATATATATATATAACATTAATAAATGTTATAAAATCCACGTTTCCTCCAACAACTGTAAGCATTTAAATTTTGCTAGTAATTACTTAAGTCGGTCTCGTAAAAATCAAAGATCAACGACCGAGAGCGAAAAGGAACGACTAAGTTTCGTTTAGGTATAGCACTGCGATAAATCTATTAACAGACTTTCAGTGGGCAAAGTATCAACCCCCTGCCCTATAATGCGTGTCAGACTCGGTACGAAGATTTTGAACACGATCTACTAAATGTAGTCGTTGTCGGAAGAGCAGAATAATTAAATTCAGTTTTCTAAAATCCACTTTTCACGAGTTCGACGTAAAAGACGTTAAAATCTAAAGCGTAGGAAGTCCAAAAATAGTGACACGTCGATTATTCCTTTCGCGAGTCTCTGAAAGGACACGTCTTCTATTTGAAGATTCTGGAACCGGTCTCGAGCAAGTTTTTCATTCGGCAACAGCGACGCAAGTTCATTCGACTCGCTACGAACGCCGAAGCTTCCGTCCCCTTCTCTCCAACGAAGCTGCAATAACAATGTCTCGAGACAGAGCGTGCTGTGTGCCAAAAAAAAGAAAAAAGCGCGCGAGCAAGTCTTTGTACCTTTTGAGGGGGATCGTTCTGGACTGGCATTGGCGTCTCCGGTCGTTTCCGTCCCTTTTCGTATCACTTTTGGGACGCCCGAAAGACGCTGAAAGGGAAGGCGACGAAAAACGATGAAAACCAAGGAAAAACAAAAAAAAGCGAAGCCTGCGAACCGTTTTTCCTCTAATCTGTCGCGTTCTCCATCGACGAGAGAAAGAGGGCGGCGAAAAAAAAATTGCGTTTCTCGAGCACGCCGGAAGGGGACGGACGAGACAGGGAATAAGGGGGAGTGGAAGACGCGCAAAAGGAAGATCGAAGACGGGAATATTCGAGGTGGAAGGTAAGTAAAGGAATAAGGACTGGGCGCGACTTTGATCGAGGAAAAGTGGGAGCACTCGAACATGAAACCTCGCGAGCAGAGCACAATCGGAAACTCTCCATGTCGCTCCGGGTCTACGAGGAACCCTTCAGACCCTTTTTCACTCCCGGGATTTCCGGATCTCCTTTTCCCAGCGGCCGTGCATCTGTATGCACTGGCCGGGAAATATCCCCGAGGAAGAGAATCTATTGGGAATATCGGTGACCAAACCGGCGTGCCAGCGCGCTGGGAAGCTGCGATTTTTTTCGGGCGGCGAGGCGAACCAAGGATTTTGGGAAATCGACGACGAACGAATCGTCGCGCTATGAGAGAGGAAGGGCCCAAAACCGGTGAAATTCATTTCCTCGCGGAAATCGTGGATTTATGCCGAACTTTTCGATCTTTTGCAACGAGGCTTATTTTCAACGCATATCGCAAGTGTCGAACAGTATCGACAACTCGGGAACGACGGATTTACGAGTAATGCGCAACGAATTATCAACGAATGAGAAACGAAATAACAACAACTTGTGACAAAATTTACGTTTCAATGTTTCACCGTGTGTATTTTATAAAACTGCTGCACCGCTGATTTTACGTACAGCGACAGAACGTTGGAATATCGTCCCCGAGATACCAAATAATGCGTAGTCCTCTTTACAAAGCAGATGACAAACGTGTCCAAATTCCAACAGCCATCGTCTCGAACTCATTCTTCAAAATGATGGATGATACGGCAGCTGGTAAGCAAGAGACGTCACTCAACAATAATTCGGTACCTATATCGATGGAAGCCTACCGATAGCCTGATCGTCATCTTCGTTAGCTTGCATCGTAATGTTTGAAGAATAATCTGTAAAGATTACTTTTATCCTTACACGTTATCTTGATTCGGTGAAAACAATGGAAATACGTGTCTTAAATGTCTTGAGATGTCACATTTACGCGAACAACGAATTATCTATATTGGCAAATAAATATACATCTATTAATTTACGAGCAAATGAACAAACTTTTCGATGCGTAACTATAGATACACAGATAGAGTGGTTACGCACAATTTGAAACTATAGTGGTGTAAACATTACGTCATCATGAAGCATCGCAACTGAACAAGTTTTGACAATATGCGAAAGTTGTTTACGTTAATGATAACATGATCGAGGCAGTTGAATTGACAACATAAATGCTTGATGCTATCGTCGATACATCGACACTTGAGTTTCCAAATTCTTGAAATACAAAATTGGAAAAACATCGGAATAATAAAAGGACACAGGCGTGTTCGTTTTAAATAGTAAAAACTATCGAGAGAAGAGACGCATGTTTGGTCAATTCTCATTTCTTGAAATTGATGAAGAAAATTGTTATTTTATCCTAAAGATCCGCAATCCATTCATACCATTTTTTCGTAACATAGTTAACGAAATTCTTCGGATAATTACATTAACTTTGATAATAAATCCTGCACCGTGTATGCGCATATTTTCGTAACGAGAATTCGGTTCACGAGATTCTTCGGTTGTTCGACTACAAGAAGCTATTCAGAAAAAATATATATAATTTATTTAAATAGGTTTAACAAAACTTTATTTACTAAATAATTATATTGTTATGATATTACATTGCTATTCGTTGCTATTCACGGTATCTCTTTCAACAATCGTTCGAAATCGTACAAAGCGTGTAAAATAAAGCGCGACGGCCGTTTTCTTAGAACATAATCAAGAAAACTCCGAAAAAACATAAGGAACCCCCCGGTTCCCCCGCGGCAGTTCCTCCGAAAGAAGTTTGTTGCGCGATAAAAGTCCAGCTCCTTCGGCCCATTAAATTTCGAAATAAAGCGAGGTCCGCCGTTATATTCCAAGAGAACGGCTTGCGAAACTTTATTTGGCGTAGCCAGCGTGAAGTTCCCCGTTCCCAAGACTCGCTCGAATAAACCAAACTATCGAGTCATAAATGATTTATCTCGAGAACTTCCTCGGATTCAAGAACTGCGTTACGTTTCCATTTGGACGCAACGCGGATCGCAATTACGATCCCTCCTTCTGGCGAGATGGCCAGAATATCATCGCGATTTACGCGACAGCCGAAGCTCATCGGAAACCAGTTTAACAAGTACCGGCAGCGTAGCGAGTCGAATATTATTTGTCTTTTCTTGTCCCGCGAGTCCTTTCGCGGCGAACTTTCCGTCTCGAGCTTACTTTCGAGTTGGAATTCCTCGGGGGACTCGAGCCCATCGCGCATCGGAGACGGCAGAACGAGCGGAGAAGCGGCAAAGTGAGTGACGCCGAAAGGAAAAGGAAGGGTGACGAAGACCGGGCCGAGGAGGAAAAAGCGATCGGTTGGAAAAGGGTAACCACGGTGATTCACAGCCAGCTCGAGGACCGATGCTGGCCCGATCGAAGGCTGTCAAGAAGCTGGGAAACCGAAAGAAAGCGAGGAGTCTCCGGGATAAATGCTCGCGGTGGATGCGACTCGATGTCGTTTCTGGGTCGACGTACCCAAAAGCCAGTGAAATTGAACCTCTCTCCCCCAGCGCCCCGTCCTTCCGCTGTGTTCCACAGGCCGTCTCATCTTTATATGAAAAATTATTCCCGGACTAAAAAGCCTGGCAGAAAATCCTGGCAAAAATCGGAATGCCTCAGGAGAGAATGAAGGGAAAAAGCATTATCTTCTGATCATACAAATCATGTTGGCTCAAGGAATCCTCCATCATTTTCTGCAGAAAGAATCTTCTTCTTCTTCTTTTTATAGTATTCGTTGCTGATTAAATCGTAATAACGTGGACTAATTAGCTTGCCACGTGAAAAAGTTGCTCGACGTAGGTTCTAGATTTATTTGAGAAATTGCGCGACGAGATGCTGCTTTATAATCTATGTCAGATAATTGTGAATTCCAATAGCTTTTTCGAACACTTTGAATTATTTGTTTTATAATTGTAACAACTGTAATAACTCTTACAATTTGTATAAAAGATACGGATCGCTACGGATGCTCTTTAGAAACATTCGAAACATTCTAACGTGACTAGTATTGTGAATTAACGAATCATTCTAACAAAATAGAATATAATAGAACGATCGATGCGTACTCCACTGTTTGTGCTCGATGTTATTTTATTAAACATTATCATTTTTCATTTTTCAGATGGTACGCACAAACCGGCTCTGAACCGGTGCTGGTACACTCTGGACCAAGAACGAGACTACTTGGCTCCGTCCTAGCCCTCGAAGCAGTCACGCTAGAAGATAGTGGAATTTATCGTTGCACCGCATCTAATGCCGGTGGCGAAACCAGCGCCGAAATTAGGTATCAATAATTCATATCTGACACGAGTCATTCATGATTACGATAAAAAGAACAACTGGAAGTTAGAGCTCTTAACAAAAGTCTGGGATATTGTATTCTGATTGAAAAAAAAATTACGAGCTTAAAGAGACTAGACTTTGTTCAGCAACTTTTCTACAGGATGTCCTATAATTATATTAATACCCGAAAAGGGGTGATTCCTGAGATCATTTGAAGTAACTTTTTCCTTTGCGCAAATGCGATCCGTGGTTTCGTTTACGAGTTATTAACGAAAAGCACTGGCTAATGAGAAGCGAGTTCGGCTGGCGCTAGACGGCCGAGCCAACGAGCGGTCGGAGCCTAGTTCCGCTGATTGGCTCGACCGCCTAGCGCTAGGCGAGCTCGCCTCTCATTGGTCACCGTTTTTCGTTGATAACTCGTAAACAAAGCCGCGGATTGCATTTTCGCTAAGGAGAAAGTTACTTCAAATGACCTAAAAAATCACCCCTCTTCGGGTGTTAACATAATTATTGGACATTATGGGACTTCTTCATTTAAACTCTCTTATCTAATCATTAAACATTATTTAATCGTATATAAGAATCCACAAGTGCATTAAAAATATATTGTTTCGGAGAACGTTACAGGATTTTTTACACTTTACAGTTACACGTTACAGTTTTTACACTCGAAACTCAATTTTTGCCAAAATTCTTAAATAGAACTACCCATTACTAGATTGCAGATTTTCGTCTAAAATAGAAACTGTTTGCATCGGAATAGTTAGGATAAAATTAAATAAGAATTAGAATTTAAAGAAGAGTTGACTTTGCATTCTAATTCTTATTTAATTTTATTCTAACTATTGTTCCGATACAAACAGTTTCTATTTTAGACGAAAATCTGCAATCTAGCAATGGGTAGTTCTATTTAAGAATTTTGGCAAAAATTGAGCTTCGAGTGTAAAAACTATGCGAATCACTGTTACTTAGAATAATTCTGTAACGTTCTCCGAAACAATATATTTTATATATATTTAAACGTTACTCGTTGTAATCAGCGACTGAAAATGCTATTAGAACCTATCGATTTGTACGTTATCTTGCATTCTAAAAATCTATGCACACCACACATGCATAACGATCTCTCAACGGTCTAGTTATTATCTTAAGATTTCACGATCCAATAGTTCTTAAAAACTATCCATCTTGAAAACGATTATGCGCGAGCTTTTTGGTCGCGTTTTACGTACTGAAAAATGCGGTTCGAGAACGTTATGTGTTTCATGAACCGAAGGCAAACGTAGCATACGAAGGATACAAAGGAGACTGTTCTGCAGGCTGATCGTGACTGCTCCGCTGCACGTAGAAGTGTCCCCGCCGTTGCTGAGCGTCCATTTAGGCGGTAATGCCGAATTTAGATGCGAGGTCAGCACGCATCCACAAGCAGGACCGCACTTTGTTACCTGGTACAAGGATGGCCGGCAGCTGCCGGGAACCGGCAGACAATCGGAATTATTGAGGCTCAACGGGATCGGCAGGGAAGATCGTGGAATGTATCAGTGTATAGTCAGACGAGCAGAAGGGGACACTGCTCAGGCATCCGCAGAACTTCAATTGGGCGGTATGTCTACACACGTCTTTATCGTTACTTACCTCGATTATCCCAAACGAGAATTGCCCTTTACGTGTGTACGAGCACACTCCGCGACATAAAGATGACACATCCCATATAAACCCAATCTTTCTGGTCATTACTCGACCAGAAAGATACACTTGATCCTGATGCTTATTAATTTTTGTTGTGCAACATATTCTGTTACAGTAAAAAGTTCGAAGAGAAATTGTTCAAAGCCAGTGTGACAAAATAACAGATTGAAAATTTTATTATCTAATAATTTGTAACAATTTATTTTGTCATTTATTTTGTCCTTAAGAAATTCATACGAATCATAATAAACGCGTTCTTGTTGGTTTTATCAAGCGATGACAATTAGTGTTCCGTAGACGTAGATAACAAAAGTTTAACTGCTGTGTCGATGATTTTAATATTTTAACACTAAACTGCAAGCAATATTTAATTTCATCGGTTTATACGCATTTCAATGTATTTCTGATATTCTTGTTTATCAAATCGAATCGTTAATAAGTACGCGATAGTGTTTTTATAACTATCAGCGTATTGTCCACTGGTATAAGAACGTGTTTTATCGGAAGAGGTTGTTTATGGTGTACAAAAGAATATACTTTGCGAAGAAGTGTTTTTTTCTTGTTCGTGCTTCTGGTCTATTTAGAACTCTCCTTCCTTAAACGATGATGATAATTTCCAGGACGTAATAGCGTATGATTTCAACTAAAGTTATCGAACACGAGTCTCTGATTAGTAATTGTGCTCCGTATAACGGGACATCGCCTTGGTTGTTGTGTAGAATAATATGGAAATTATTATCGAGTTGTGAATTAATCATAGTAGTTCAAGGATTCCGAGCGTAGAAATCCTGTACCAGCAGGCAGTATATTTCGAGTGAATCAAGTGTAAATTAATTCTGTAACATCTTCGTTTTACGTTGCATATCGATAAAACTAACGAAAGAAGATCTTCAACCTGCAAATTTAAAACGTGATAAATTTTTAAGGATACGCGATTTTTATTCGTCGCCCTTTAATCTAAGAGCGTATAATTAACCCCAGAAAATATTGAGTTGGCAACTAAATAATTGCCGATTTGTTCAATGAAATAAAAAATTTTTTTTACTTGGAATGAAGTTTAATCTGCAATGTATTTTCCATTTTGTTCGATGACCTTTTGCCATCTCTCTGACAACTTGAAAATTCCACGCTCGTAGAAAGTCTGATCCTTTTCGGCCAAAAACTGAGTTAAGTGAGATTTTACAGCGCGTCATCATCGTTAAAAGTTTTACCACGAAGGGAGTTGTCCAGGGATCGAAATAAGTGGTAATCCGATGGTGCGAGATCAGGACTATATGGTGGGTGTAACATCAATTCCCAACCAATATCCATGAATTTTTGCCGAGTGGACAAAGACGTGTGCGGCCTAGCATTGTCCTGCTGGAAAATGACACTTTTACGATTGACCAATTCTGGTCGCTTTTCCTTGACCGCTGCATTCAATTTGTCGAGTTGTTAACATTCACGGATAATAAAAAATAACATAATAATAATAATAATAATTTTATAATATAACATTTACGGATATCATAAAAATGGGAGTGAG